CACACCCCACGTCCATTTTCTTGCATCAATCCTACCCCCAGCCCTTGGGACTTCTCCACTCTTTTGCTTCTATCTAAAGTCATGACAGAATGAGCCAGCGTCGGGGAGCAGTGCTCATGCTGGTGGCAGTACCTATTGTGAGAATTAAAGACCCTCCTCCAGCTCAGCAGTACCCTGAGCCAAGTGCAGCTCCTTCATCTCCACATCATTTTTCTAACTGTTGATTCTACCTTCTCTCGTGCTAGACTATGAGCTTCTTGAGAGTAGGTGCTGTCTCTCTCACCCATCTTTTAGAAATTTCTAGCTCTTTGCACACAACCTGCCACACAGTAAGTGCTTAATTGGTGTTCAGTGAATGAATGAATGGGAAGAGGCAGGGGAGTGAAACAAATTTCCCCAGGTTTATATGTCAGAACTGTCTTTGATTCTTTCCTCATTTGGACTCTTCACACCCAGTTAGGCATTAAAGTCCAATGATTCTTATTTCACAATGTCTGTTTTTGTGGTTGGCTCCTAAGCGCTTTCTCTCCTGGGAGTAGCCTACAGCCTAGCTTCCTCATCACCAGTTCTCCCTTCCTTATCCATCTTACAGATACATCTTCCTAAAGTACATTTTCAACTTATCACTGGGCTGCTCAGAACCATTTGGTTGACTCCCTATCATTTTTGAGATAAAATACAAATTAATCAGCTCACTCTTTGATATCCTACCATCCCATCTGTCCATCAATAGGTGTGTCTGAATTTCTACTCCAGCCTCTGGGGAGAAGGAGCTCCACCTAGAAGTCTCTGCTCCAGCCAGATGAGGTTCATCATTGTCTGGGCTCCAATCCCTTATGCAGACTGTCTCCCTACCAGTCCCAAATACAGATCTTCCTTGACTTACACTGGGGTTACATCCCGATAAACCCATTGTAAATGGAAAATATCCTAAGTCAAAAATGCATTTAATACATCTAGCCTACCAAACATCATAGCTTAGCCTCACCCACCTTACACGTGATCAGAATAACTTACATTAGCCTACAGTTGGGCAAAATGATCTAACACAAAGCTTATCTTATGTAACAAAGTGTTGAATATCTCATGCAATTTATTGACTGCTGTACTGAAGGTGAAAAACAATGCTTGTCTGGGTACAGAGTGATTATAAGTGTATTGATTGTTGACCATCATGACTGCATGGCTGACTGGGAGCTATGCTCACAGCCACCGCCCAGCCTCATGAGAGAGGATGGTCCCAAATATCCCTAGCCTGGAAAAAGCTCCAAATTCCAAATGTGAAGTACGGTTTCTACTGAACATGCGTTGCTTTTGCATCATCATAAAGTCAAAGGATCATAAGTCAAACCACTGTAAGTCGGGGACCGCCTGTGCTTGCATCCTCCTGGTACTTGATAAGCCTGCCTCCCCCAGAGAAGCCTCCTGGGGCATTGCAGGCCACCTCAAACCTTCTACTCAGTAGCACCTGGTCACCAAACTGAGTATCAGATGGGGTCTAATCAATGATGACATGATTTTAAAATGTAGCAACAACCATGGACCATTCCAAGCAGGAACAGGGACCTTGGAGCAGGGACTGGGGTGGGAAATGGGGTTGGGTCAGGGTCTTAGAGTGGCAGAGTTGGTGGCAGCTTGCATTACACAGGTTTCCCATTCTATCATTAAAACACCTGTGTAGCAATTGATTCTTCTGGCAGAAATCTACAACATAGAGCATCTCTGCTTAGATTCTGATCTTAGATTCTGAGCCCCCCTGAGGGCTCTGGTCTCTCTCCAAGTGCTTTTAAATTCAATATGAAGGAGACTACAGAGCCTTTCCTGGGAACAGATGTTGAAAGGGATGAGGAGCCTGAAAACCTGAGGCCCTGGTGGCCAGAGGTAACCCACTCCTTTGCAGCTCTGAGCCCAAGACTCACCTGTGTGGGGCGCTGGAGAGAATCCAGCCTGCTCTGCTCATATGTGTGCCAGGCTCATTTTCTTTCTTGGTTATGTCTTTAGTAATTCATTTTCAAGAAAAAAGACTCCCAATAAAATCATGTTCTCGCACCATCCTAAAGAAGATAATAAAGTACCCAAGATGATCATAGAGCAGGGTGAGTCAATCTGAAATCCCCCAAGACCAGGGCAGATTGACCTGAGGTCAAAATAGAACATGACCCGTTGGGAACCGTTGAGTACACACTTCCCACCATGGCATGTAGTTAGGCACTATAAAGCACAAACAAAACAACCTATTTATCTTATTGCAAAAATAATGCATATTTGTTGCAAAATTTTTTTTTGGAAAATACAGACAAGCAAAAAATTTTTAAAAATCGTCCACAATTCTATCCTACTTTAGTGTGTATCTTTTAAGTCTTTTGTGCTCCTTCCTTCTATCCCTCTCTTTCCCTTCTTCCTTCCTTTCCCCCCTTCCCCTTCCGCCTTCCTTCCTTCCTTTGCTGCTTCCTTTCTTCCTTCCTCCTTCCCCTCCTTCCTTTATACCTTCGCAGTGGGAGGTATTTAACCACTGTCTCTACTCAGGAATTCTGTGAACCAGTCCTTTCAGTATCTGTGCTCCCCACCTTTCAACTCCATGCCTCTCCTCTCCTGGGGCATAGTCTCTTTCTCACTGCCTTTTTCATACCCTAGGACACTTTAAGACAGGGTCATTCACATGGGTAGGGACAGAGACCAAGCCGAGCCTCAGTGTGAAGCTGTACCTTGCCAGTGGCCTAAGGAAAATCCTCACTGGATTCTAAGGGCAGGGCAGTCCATGCAGCCCTGGGCTCAGCTCAGGGAGGAATATGGACTGAAAGAAGCTGGAGACCCAGGTGCTAACTCAGCTGCCACTCAGACCACCACTTGGTCACTCTTCCCCCAGACAACCAGCAGGTGACTGACCATATTGAAGGCTCCAGTATGATGGTAGTGGTGTTTGGGGGTGGGGAATAGGACACATTGACAGAAAGATTTTACTTTTTTATTGAGGTTTAATATACAGACAATAAAGTGCATAAAGAACACTCATCTTAAGTGCACAACTCAAAAAAGTTTTACATTTGTGGGCACCTACATGACTACATGGTCTGACATGGGCCCTTGGAGGGACTGAGGGTAACTTATTTCCAAAGACATCAATTCAGTCTCAGCAAATCTGACATGTGTCAAATCTCACAGAACTGTAAATTTAAAAAAAAAACACCTCAATGTTATTGTATGCTCATTTAAAAAAACAAAATAAAATAAAGACATCATAAAAAACTGAATAGGCAAGGCACAGGTGGGGGGAATATATTCATGATACATATGCCTAGCAAATGACTCATATCCAGAAAATATAAAGCTTTCATAGAAATTGTTGGGGAAAGACAGACAAACCCATACAAAATAGGAGACTTAAACAATCATATCACAAAATTACATAACCCAAAAAGCTGGTAAGTTAGTAAGTCATTATTCATTAGAGAAATACAAATGAAAACTACAAGGAGGTATTGCTACTCACCAAGAATTTTTTAATAAAAACTCTAAATGCCAACTCTTGGCAAGGATGTGAAGTAACTAACTTTCATATACCAATTCAATCTTTTGGGGAAACTGCTAGGCAGTGTCTTTTAAAACTAAACATACACTTATCCTAAGACATAAAAATTCTGCTCATTGATATGTACCCAAGATTGAGTACACTTATTCACCAAAAGACCATACGAATGTTCACAGCAGCTTCGTTCATAATAACCCAAAACTGAAAACCAAAATGCCCATCAGTGGTGGAATGGATAAATTAATTGTTGTATATTCATATAGCAGAACACTACCTAGTAATATACTACTGATATGTGCAATACCATGGATGAATCTTACAGACATTATGTTGAGTGAAAGAAACCAGACAGAAAAGGGTACACTGCTTATCTGCTATCATATTAAATTTAAGAACAGACAAAATTAATATACAGTAATAGAAGTCAGAATAGTTGTTACCTAAGTATGACTGGGAAGGAGCAGGTGGAAACCTGGGGTGATGAAAATATCCTACATCTTGATCTGGGAGCTGATTACATGTGTTAAAAGTTCACCCAGCCGTCCTCTTAAGATTTGTGCCGTTTATTATGTGAAAGTTATACCTCAATTAGCAAAATAATAATAATAAGGAATGAAGGAGAAAAGAAAGTGAAGGAGAGAATACGAAGGAAGACAGGCAGGAAAATGAGAGAGAAATGAACATGATCATGGGGGGGGGCTCCTCAAAAATACGTTACGGGGCATGTACTGTTAACTGCATCTTAAAGATGGGGCCACTCGAGGTTTGCTGAAGTGTTCAGAGGCTGGAACGCATGTGTGTACGACGCCAACGCCTTTGTTTTCCCAACTACTATCTCAAGTCACCTCCTCCTAGAGAGGTGAACCCTGGAAATGCCTCCCTAGATTGATCATTTCTTGCGAAGGATGTCTATCTTATCACTTGCGGCCTCAGTTGGGCGGGTACCCTTCTGTCTCCCACCCACAATTGCGAGCCTGCTCTCAGAGCGTGTGACGCGTCCATTCTTCAGGGGCTTCAGCCTGGCTAAGTTAAGTTTTGCATGAGCGGGACAGGGAGTCGCCACCGGAAACTCGGTTGCGGTCTGCTCTTTGAACGAGTCCTTCGACTTCGCAAGCCTGCAGGTTGCGGATGGTGCTTCCTTCCGAAGAGGAAATCAGACGAGGTAGTGATGAGCTCTGTGGAAGTGGAGTCCGGCCGCCCTGCGTTACTCCCCCAGAAACTCAGGTTCTGCCAAAGCTGGAGAGACCCCGCTGACGGCCTTCCCGCCCACGTCAGGCGGAAGCAGGTGCGCGGGGGCCCACCCCGCCCTTCTC